CTGAACACGAGCAGGGACTGGAGGCCCAGCCTCAGTCCTGCACGTCAGCCTGTGTGCCTTGGGCAAGTTGCTTAACCTTGGCAAATTGGGGATATTGTTAAGATAAACAGATTGGAAGATTAGCTAAACCCCAGGGAGGTGCTTCATAAAGATACAGCTGTCCGAGGCCCCCAGGAGGGACTGAGAGTGGGATGCTCACGCTTTCCAGTCGGGGTCGTGGCCCAGGAGGAGCGGGTTGCCCACCACGATGAGCAGAGCCTTGGCCCGGGTCACAGCCACATTGAACCTCTGGGAGGAAGAGGTGGTGGGGTCATAGAAGGGAAGAGCCCTCAGGAAGGAGGAGTTCCTGCTCCCCACCAGCCCTCAAACCTTGGGGTTCTTAAGGAAACCCAGGTTAAAGTCCAGATCCAGCTGCACAAAGCTCTGGCTGCTCCGCACGGTGGAGATGAGGATGACGCTGCGCTCCTGGCCTTGGAACTCTTCCACGGAGCCCACCTAGAGGGGAGGGAGGCAGGGCCGGAGGCCAGGGCACTCAGCAGGGGACCAGGGGACCGCCCAGGCCTCAGTGAGCCTGAGGGCAACTGTCACAGTGGAGTGAGCCAGTGTCCTGCCGGGCAGGAAAGAGGACAGGAGGGTGCCGTGGAAGCTGAAACCTGAAGGGTTAATCCAGTTAAAGGGGTAGGGGCTAGAAAGGGTTCTAAGCAAAGAAAACAAGATTGTGAAGAGCACTGTAACTCAGCAGTGTTTTTCCAGGTCTCCTGAAGATAGTCACTCAATACTTATTAAAAATATGCAACCTTAGGCCCAGACCTCCTGAATCAATTTCCACGGGAGAGCCCTCTAACTCTTAAAGCACCGGTTTTCAGCCCTGGCTGCAAGCTAGATCACCTGAGGAGCCATAATAAACACCCATGCCCTGGCTCTGCCCCCAGACAGCCGTGTTAATTGGCTGGGTGGAGCCCTGGCAGTACTAAAAGCTCTCCAGGTGATTCTTATCTGAGAATCTGCTGCTGAATGACTCAGAGGGTGGGAGAGGTGAGTGGGGACATGTCACATGACAGGTCAGCCAGGCAGGGGAGTTTGGACTTTCTCCTTAGGGCACAGACCTTAACCAGCCTGACCATAAGGATCCCGTGGTGCTTGCTGAGCATGCAGGCTTTCTGGCCCCATCCCAGACCTACAAGTTGGGATCTCCAGGAGCAGCAGGCTTGGGGAAAGCCCAAAGTCATGTGAGGCAGGGAGGGTGGAGACCTGGGTTGGCCTGGAGCAGCAGGGCAGGATATCTGGAAGTGGGGAGGTGAGGGGTACAGAAGTCAGAGAGGGAGTGTGAAAGAGTGGTGAGGATCACCTTCAAGTCCTTGATGTCATCCAGTCCCCGAAGCTCCTTGTCAAGTTTGGTGATGCAGTAACGGATTTTTTCCACCTGGAAGATGGGGACAGGTGCCTTTCTCTCATGCCATTACCCCAGTGCAAGAGGGAGCCAGGCAGGGGCCAGCAGAGGCCTGCACTGGACCCTCTGCCTAGCAGTCTGGCTACGGAGGTACCATCCTGGGGGGTCCTGCCCACGATGGGAACTGAAGGCCTGACCTGCTTCCGGTATGGGGAGATGACGCCCACGCTTCGGGGGCTCAGACGGGCTTTGCCCTTCTTGGAGGAGGGGGCCAGGAGCTGCTTCAGGTAGGAAGTCACAGTGGCAGCCTCTTCGGGGTTGAAGAAGGATGGGCTGTTGCCCTCACGCTCATCCTTGCCCATCACGCCGTGAAAGATGATGGGAAAGCCCTGGACATGGGGTCAGGGGAAACCCTCAGCTGGACCTCCCTGCCTCCCTTCCCTCCCACTCCCAAACCGTTCCAGCGAGTGTGGGATCCCAGGCCGAGGTGACAAAGGAAGAGGCTCAAGTTTTCACTCAGAACCTCCTGCTACCCAGCAGCTTCAGGAAGAAGGAAGTTGGGGTACAGGGGTGAGTACCTGAACGTCTGCCCTGTTCAGCCTCACCTGTCGAGGGAGACCCTCCCAACGGCAGAAGCGCTCTCGGTCCACAACATCCGCACAGGCCTGCAGCTCCCCTTCATAATAGAGCCGGTTAGGAATGTCCAGGATGGTGGGGTGAGACCTGGGAGGCAGGAAGAGGAAGAGCAACACCAGGGGCCAGACTGCTTCTGCCCCGTCCTCAGGGACCCCCACTCCACCCGCCTGGGCTCACACACACTGACCTCCTGCCCACTGGACGGCAGACTCATTCATCTACAATTTTTGGCACTAGGCACTCTTAACCACAGAAAGCAGAACCAAGTATGTCGCCCGAGAGTACCCACTCCACAGATTTCATAGACCAGTCAAACTTAAAACACCAAGAAATTAGGGGCCCATTCTCACGTTTCGAATTTGCCGAGGAAGAACAATACAAAAGCAAGTATCACCTACTACTGCCAGTATTTGACAAGATAATGTGTGAAATCTGAGCATATACAGAGTACTAACACAGCAGCTAACATTTACTGAATTCTTAGTGGATTCATCTAAGGAACTAAAGACACAGGAACTCATCGGAGCATGACAAACGTTGCTCACCTGAGTGTGAAATACATTGTCCCTATTTTTCTTATTTCTCTTTGGATTGCCTGGAAACTTCACCTGGGATTCACATCAGACACAGCCTAGTGTCTGGGAGCCACCGACCATCCCCTGATGTACAGTTAGGCAAACCGCTCTAGAGTGAGGCCACTCGCTAAGTCACACAGTCAACAAGCAGCAGTGATGGGACTGGAGAGGAGACCTCCTCCACCTTCCAGTCTATGATCTTTTTGCATCACAAAGCCTCTGAGCTCCGGGATGCTGGGCTGGAGCCTCCAGGGGGGCTCGCAGAGGGTGTGATCCAATGGGACGGCGCAGAAGGTGCGGGTACCTGTAGTTGCGCAGCAGCTTGGTTATGAACTGGGGGTTAAAGCCCTCGGGACCCTTCTTGTACAGGGCATTGTAGGTGAGCAGCCGCTCCAGCAGTGAGTACCCCAGCCCATACTTCTGGGTCAGTGGGCAACGCAGCACAGGCCCCAGTTGCCGAGGGTCTCCCGCCAGCACCAGCTGCCCTCCTGGATTATCTGCTTCCTTGACTTCCATCAGCCCTGGGAGGCGGGTAGCGTGGGGAGAGAGAGATGTGGTGGGGCTTCCCCGACCCTATGTGGGGTGGCACGCCCGCAGCTCCCGCTGAACGCCCCCTCACCTGCTATGGCCACCAGGCTCTCTGGCTCCATGGAGTGGCCAGCCTCATCGATGAAGATGTGTGTGAAGTGATCAATGGGAAACTGGGCCGAGACCAACCTGGGAGGTGTCAGGCCAGGCAGGGGTCAGACCCAGGCACCCAACTACCAAACC